GGTAAGGGAGATTTTTCAACAGCTTCTTTTTCTGGAAAAATGAAACATAACGCAATTCTGCCAACCTATTTAACATGAGACAACTAAAATAGGGAAATAAAATGAATTTATTTTATCAATTCTAAAAAATAAGACCAGAACAGTCGGTCTTACACGCTAGGCTGTTCTCTCAATGATCACCAATTTCACCATTCACTGGTGCAGCAGTGGCACATAACTGTGTGAAAAACCTCCGTTTAGATGCCATGGGCACAAAAGAAATAAGTTTTGGTTTAATGGAGTTCCTCAATCCAAACAGTAACACATTAACAATGCTTTAGTTCACAGGCATGATGCCTCAGATTTTTGCTAGTTAACTAATACGTCAGCAATTTTTTAATTTTTTCATGAACTGATACCTCAGCATTTAGTAGTTTGCAATCTTAGTTGCTTATAAGCACATCTGAACCCCAAACAAGAAAGAATCATAACGCAACAAATAGTTTCTTTCCCTTCTCTCTTTCCACTTTCCTTCTCTTCAAGAGCAAGCATTCTTTATCCGGAAAACCATCGCCGGAACGATATCCCACAGCAATGTAATCTCCACTAATATCAAAGCAGCCATTAATCAAACAAGTCAAAGATCAATCTACACACCAAAATCAGGTAAAGAAATTCACTTAGGTCTGCTTGTTAACCAGTACCGAATAGCGAAAAATCACTTCAACCCAGTACATAATTTCATAAATTAAAAACAAAAAAACCCTAAAACCCCAAATCTGAAACAGTAAAATCAAACTAAAAAAAGCGATGAGATCAAGTACCTTTCTCAAAGCAGTAGCCAGCTCTCCACGAGTAAAATTAGCAGCAGCTGCGGTTGTCAAGGGAATCCCATTACGGAAATGATACAAAGCCACGTTCTTCTGAATATACTCCGTGAATTGAACTCTGAAAAACAAATCCAAGAAACACAAATTAGCCAGGAGAAGGATCAATTAATTAATTAATAGAAAGCTAATATTTTGTAATGAGTAGTAACAAACCGGTCACCGGACTCACCGCTAGCAGCGATGAGCTTATGAGAGTCCAGTTTCATAATCTTGTCTTCGTTGGTTTTATGGACCAAGATGCTGTTAACGGCAGATGTGTCTGCTACTACGATTACGAAATCATTACCTACAAGTCCGAATACGCACTCCATTTTTCTTTTCTTTTTTTCCTTGGTCTGTACTTGGATCTCTAGTTTTGATTGCTTTGGGGAGGAGGGGTATGTTTATCAAGGCAAGTGGTCTTCTTGTTCAACAAGTAGAAGGCTGAAGCTAAATTCGGACTGAGACTCCAGAGGGTAGTTTGGTCATCACATGTCTTCATCAGTATTGGGCTTTCTTTCTATGGGTTCGGCTATTACCAGGCTTAGAATCTTGATATTCTGTTTGTCAGGTTTAGTACTTTCGGGCCTTGGGCCTTTTATTTTCCCATGAAAGCGGTGTTCCAAAAATTATATATATATATATATATATATATATATATATATCGCACCGCTAAAAATTATATATATATATATATATATATATATATATATATAACGGCACTGCCTCGGATAGCCAGTCGAATCAAGCCAAATTTTGATGTGCCCAAATTAGATATGTTTAATTTTAATAAGTCTGAAGCCTGATTCGTTCATACCTTTCATGCTAGCGAACTTAACTTATAACCCCGTTAATTAAGTTATTCAAGAGAATTGAGGAGCTGGGTTTAAGGTAGTCTTAATTATATATTATTTAATTTAAAATAAGTAGATATTAATTTTTTTTTTGGATAGGAGAAAATTCATTTCTTAAAAATGTATTACATGAAATCAGGGGATGAGATAAGCAAATAAAACTCTAACTATTTTTAATACTTATAAAAATCATATATTTTAATTTAAACTTAAAATCTACTATATAGATCTCAAATAAATTAATATTTTATATATGTTTTTTAACACATTATTACATACATGTATAAAAATTATGATGTATGTCATTATGATTTTAGCGTCCCAACACCAATTAATTTGATGCAGTGAATATAATCGAATTTCGTAGTTTTAAATATTATTCCTTTTCACTTTGATAGTAAAATCTTCATCTATTTCCCCTCTCCCCTCGTAAAGTAGATAGTTTATCGGAAACAAAAAAAATTATGTATTCTTATCTCTCATTTATTTTATTTTTATTTTTGTGATTTACGCCTTACAATAATATTATTTTAAGATCCTCGAGAAATCCCTAATATTTCTCTATTTTTAATATACCATTTCAGTTTTTAATCCAGGGTAATGGTTTTTTTTCCTAAGATTCCATCCAATATAAGAGTTAATAACAACACTTTATTGGACCAAAGCTTCGTATACAATCATCACATTTTTAATGAAGCATTTAAATATTATTTGGTTATCATCTCGATGTATACAAAAAAATAAAGACAATTGTAACGGAAAGGACAAAATAAAAAAAATAAAGACAAAATATATTTTTTATAGTAATTTATTAGATAAAATAACTACCTTTGTATCATATTTGACAGGTATTGATTTGATAGTTTTGAAATTAAGAATTTTTTATAATAATATTTTATGAATAAAAAATAAAAAATATTCTCTTTGAAGATATATATTCTTTGTACCTTTTATTTTAAAGATACAAAAATTTATTTTAAAAATAAATTGATTTTTATATCACTATTTTATATGTTTTATCTCTTTAACCCAATACATTTCCGACTCCGGTATCTCCTCTTTTATGTTCTAGGATATTAATTAGATGTTGCCTTAAAGCCTTTTCTTTGTTAAATTTGGGGACAAAATGTGTTAAGCCTTGTAAGGTTCGCGCTCTCATTTAATATTATATATTAAAAACAACTATGTTATGAGGTGTTTTTAGCGTGCACTCTACATTGTCTCCTCTCCTTATGAATTATTGTGTATTGAAATAATATTTTTAAAATTTTTTAATTCATCTTTAAATTTTTATTTACTCAATTGCATCCTTTTTAGCCTAAATTAATACCCAAATGATTCTTTTTTTAATAAATGACTAAATTAAAAAATAGAAGACCAGAATGAAAAAAAATAGGTGACAACTTTAAATTTTATATGAAAAGTCCATTTCAATCTCTTTTTTTCCAAGTAGTAGGTTAATTGATCTCTTTAATTGTTGAAAATTTAATTTTAACATGAAAAATTTTTTCCCTTATTTTTTTAGTCTACTAGTTTATTTGATGATAGATATAATTGATGGGTTTTGGTGTAGAAAAAAAAAATCATTGTTAATATCTATTCTGATCACCAAAATAATTAAAATCAGTGTAAATAAATTTCATTTAACGAGGAGAGTATTGTGATAGTTGTTTAGAGCTTTAATATTGCTTTAAAAAACATATCTAAGTTAAAAATAAAAAAAATTTATCTTGTTTGATTTTATAACGTGGAACTTTTTTGGGTTTATTAGATTAATAAATTTGTTTCAAGATATTCTAGGAGTGTCTGTAAGATATTTTTGTTATGGGTTGAGGAATGCTTGTAAGATATTTTTGTTATGGGTTGAAAGGGATTGTAAATGATTTTTTGGGTAAAAAATCCACCATTTTGATTTTCTAGCCACTACCATGATTGTTAGATTCTAAGATGGCAGATAGCAAATTATCTATTTGTTTTTTTTTTTTAAATAGTGGCAAAAAACATGCCTTCCATTTTAAAAAAATAAATAAATAAAAATAGGTTTAAGAGTATAACTTATAGCATTGGGCCAAAGGCCCACACAATTTTTTAAATTTTTATTTTTAATTTAAGCTAAGCATGTATTTATGAAGAAAAAAAATATTGAACTTGGTTGGGTCCATGACCCGAATCACATATTTGACAAGTTTAACCAAATCATTTAGGATATAATTATTTTATTAATTTTTGTTGTTTAATGCATTTCTTGTCCCTCGATTTAAAAAGAAATCAATTTCATCATTACATATTGATGATTTATTTTTTTATTTAACATAAAACTAAAAAATATAATTTTATCATTTGTTATTAATGATCTACTTTATTGTTTTTGTCTTATGCATCTCTTATATTATTTTTTAAATATCTCATAGAAAAGAATTCTTATACATTTTATTATCGTATAATTAAATGAAAAATAATTTTTAAAATAAAAATTTATAAAATTTGTTGACGTGCATGACTTGTGTTGTAATTTTAATTGGTTGATTTTTTATTTTTATTTTTGTAATTAAGTGTTAATTCTGTCAATTTTATCCTTTAGCGTTGAATTAAATAAAAATCAAATTTATAAATTTATTTTTCATAAAATTATTATACTCTACAGATGTTGTATATCAATTCGGATTAATCTAATTAGATTTAATATATTTTTATTTTAATATTAAATAAAAATATTTTTTAATATACAACTAATGTTAAATTCATGATTAAGATTTATTTTTATAAAACATGTCAATAATATCTAAATATTTTTATATTTTAAAAAAATTTCTACCTCGATTCATGGCATAGCGTGGGACGATGGTGTAGTAAAATGTATAAAACATTCACTAGCTTACTGTACTCATTACTTCCTATTTTCTATTTTTTACAATCTCAAGTTAAATGTTCGTTCTAAAAGTCAAAATACAATGAATACACATTTTCATTCACTTTCTTTAATTCCCTTTATTATTTTTTAAATTTACTCAAAACAAACATTAAAATGATATAAATATAAATAGTAGTAAAAGTGAAATAACATTCTAAGATAAACACACTCTTAATTATTATTTTTACATAAACCTGTATTTGCCACATTCTCATAAAGATCCACAGACCCGACTCCAAAAATAGAGATGCAGACAAAACGTGATGCAAAAAGTTCCATGTCTGTCTCCGTCTTTTGAGGCTCACCAGTCACCACTGGCTGGATTCCCTTGAAGCCCCAACAAAAACTGATTCTCTTCCCTTCTGTCAATCAAGGGAGTAAATTAAAAAACATCTGCAGTGCAAATTAAGAAGATCTTGGAAAATGACAAACAAAGTTGCTGCACTGCTGGTCTTGTGCCTTGTTCATGTTGCTGCAGCTGAGCTTCCTAAAGCTGCCGCTGATGCGTACGGCTCCTGCTTCAACACCTGCGAACAGGCATGCCGAATTGGTGGCCAAGGCCAAACCTTCTGTGAAATGAAGTGCGACACCGACTGCTTCAACAAGGACGTCGGAGGTAAGATGAATACGCCCTTGTAACAAAATTGAGGCCATCACGTTTTTCTTCTTTTTTTCTGTCCTCATAGAATGTGACGTGTCTCGTTGATTTAACATCTTTTCATCTGTTCTTGTATGTGTTTGTGCAGCCAAACTGCATATCACGGCTCCTTGATGAATCGATGGCAGACACCCTTTCTCCCTTTAAAAGACAGGATGATTGTATCAAATGATGGAGGAATTCATTAACGATTTGGTTTCTCTCGTTTGCAATAAATCCATAAATCTACCAAGTTTTATATTATATCTTACAATAAGCCTGCGATTGCCTTCTCCCCCACTGTTATTTACTGCTCTTTCCTCGCATGCGTGTGTAGATCGATCAAGATTCATGATTGGATTGAGAGAACGTAAAATACTCAGGGTATGCTTATATCCCGAATTAAGAACTCCTAACTGCAAGACAAGATCCAATTGCAGGAGATTGAAAAGGAAAAAAAATGGATGTATATATAGTTTATAATTATCTACGGAAGCACCATCTTATTTTGAGATCCTATCCATCAATTACTCAAGAATATGGTTAACGAGCTCGGAGGTCTAATTAATACTTTGGATTTTTCCTTAAAATGGTCTCTTACATGAAATATGATATTTTATTTCTAAAAATAGTCATAAAAATAAAAAAGTAATAAAGTCCAAAAAGATAGATTTAGAAAAATAAAGGGAAATCAAGTAAAATTAAGTCCTACAAATGAGTTTTTAATTCCCCCTCGCATATATTTTTCAAATTTTAGAAATTAAGAAGAAAATTAAACTAATAAAAACAACTGATTATTAATTCAATTTAGAAAAAAAATAAAATAAAAAATACCCAGATTTTCTCTTCCCTTTTTTCATGAAAACCCAGCTATTGAAACCCATGCATGAACCGAAATTCTTGCATAGAATACATGCACTAATCCTTCTCTTTTCCTCTACTCGTTAATTATCGTAAAAGATCATCAGTTGCCCAAGTAACTTCACCATCTTCCTTAATCATTTCTTAATTCTTAACTCCAGTGCTTTCTTCAGCATTCAGAAAACTAATAGGTGCCTATTTCGCAAATTAATAGAAAGACAAAATCCCAAGCTAGCTCTCTCTTTGTTTTAGGTTCCACAAAATACCCTAAAACATGCATTCTTTCATTTTTGTTATTATTATCACTTAATTAATTTACCCTAAAACCTGTTGTTGTGTCTCCACTGTCTTCGAAACGGACTCTTATTGTTCGGTCATTGAGCCAGGAAGAGATTGCTATACCTAGCTAGTGAATTTACAACTATAATTTTTTAAAATATTATTTTATGTTCTTAATTTTTGTTAATAGATATACTTTGTTGGGTGTTTTATTTTCAGTTTTAATTGGTATATCTCATTTGTTTTGGGAGGTTTTTCTTTAAATTTTTTATTTTTTATGTTAGATGTTTCATTATTATACTATTTTAATTAAGTTGGATTTTTACAATGTATAATAATTGACTTAAATCTATTTAATTGCAGGAGTGCAAAGCTGAAAGGATTTTTCAGACAACTTGCACATTAATATTTTAGAAAAGATGCAATTTCATGCTAATTTTTCAAGTGAATGTTGTACAGTTTAAATTGCAGCGGTAGAGAAATCTTGTTTTGATTAGGATTATACTCAATTAACAAGCATATTTTTTCAATCGATTGCATTTTCTGTTCTTTTGATACCAGGCATGCGTCTGTGCACTAGTTCAGATCGTATGGTCGTTTCTGACATCCTTCCAGCTGAACCCCTTCCTTACATGTGCGCGCAATCATTTAGCTTTAGAGGTAAGTTTTAAGAAACGAAGGAAAGAGAATTAGAGAGATTATTGTCTACTTATATTTAACTTGATTTTGAATAAACTATAGAAAACCGAGAATCTTGCTGGGGTTTTCACTCTCCAAATATCAGAGGACAGAGTAAGGCTGCTGCTGATTTAAGAAACAGAGTAGCGAGAGTAATCCCTTGGCATGTTCTGCATTTCAAGGACAAAAGAGAGACATGCTTTTGCCTTCACTGCTATTTGTTTAGCTGATGTTGCTTTCATCTCCCACTAGCTAAAAGTTTACTGACGGACGACAATGTAGGAACCCCTGATTTTTTCCAGGCAGATTACTTGTCCTGAAAACACTTTAAAAATTAGTCAGATCACCAAAACAAAGCGCACAGGTTGATGGCTGAGTTGTTTGTTTACTTTATTTTCTTACATCTGTGAAATTTAACAGATAGATAAGAACGCAATGACAATGAAGGTGGAGTAGCAGAAATCATCATTTTCAAGTAGCTCAATGTGCGGCATGTGTTCTGTTCGCCATGCAGATAAAGAAGGGCCAAGAATAATTAATGTTGTCTTTTGCAGTGAATCATGCGCGGAGAAAAAGCAAGCATGATACTTTAATCTGTACATAAAGAGTTTTTTTATATATATAAAAAATGCGCATCAAGGAAAAAAAGAAAATAAATTTATAAACTGGCACAATTAGAAAAAAAATTTAAAAAATTTATTGCTGCGCTACTTTCAACTCATTAGCTATTGAATGTAGAAATTAATTAGAGGATTGCTAAGTAGACATTAACACATGACGATCTAAGATATTGGCAATGTGTAATAAATAATTTACATCATGTGCTATGAAAAGCATAAAAAAAGAAAGAAAGAAACAAGAGGAGCTGCCCTTTTATCAGTTGGTGCATGATAGGAACGTCACACTGCTTCCTTTCAACTGGGGACCAGTTGGGAACAACAAAAGGGGTTAGCAAGCAAAGGACCTGCAGAAGTTATTGCACAAGAGATAATGAAATAGATTCAGTTGCGTTCTTCCTTTTTTTTTCCTGTCTTTTTAGTGCTCAATTAGTTCTATGATTTGTAACATTAAGTATTTGTTAATTTCATGCGTGCAATTGCCATTCTTTTTCTTAAGATTCAAAATGGTTGATTTGGATTTGAATTTGGTTCACTTTGCTAACTTTCCCCTGAAATCTTATATCTGTTGATCAGATCTATAAGCAAAACGCCCTTCCTCTATCTGAGAATTTGTCTCTCCTTCTAGGATGTCAAGGCATCAATTTTGTACTGAAAAGAGAGGCAGAAAATCAGTTGAACCAAGTAAATATACGAAGCTGTTGCAGTAATGATCATTAACCCATCCAATTTTGGTTGATGTTATGGATCTTAACTAACTTGACCAAATAGAAAGTTAAACATGTGGAGTGTATAATTAAAGCTAGTCACAGCGAGGTGATAATTGTCTAGCTGGGCCTCCACTGCTCAGCACTCCAGCATTAAGATAAACCAGATAGAGCAGAAGGCGAGACAAATTCTGACATGGAAGGTGGAAGCTAGAAGAGAAGATAGGTTAAGATATTAAGGTGATATTTAAGAGAAGGAAGTGTCCTGTAATGTGATGAAAACAGTTGCTCAAAACATGTAAGAACATTCCCCCTACGCATCTGATTGATTATTCCCATGTTTAACCAGAGATCCTTGAATTAAAAGTCCGAGTTCTAGAGGAAACTGGACAGCCCTTGAATTTTATTTGATCCCCCCTCTTTTAACAGCAAAATTGTCCATTATAAACTGGGGAAGAGGCTCTTGGTTAAGAACACCATATTTGACAAGGAATCTTTCTTTAATTAGTGTTCCCGAGTCCTGACGAGAATTTGACATGGACCATGTTGCCGGCGTTAGATCTATTACCACTTCAATCTGAAGGGAAGAATCATCACTCCAGTGCAATTAATTGCCTTGGACATTCTGTATACTTTTGGGCACCTCCAAGTTCATTTTCCATGTTTCTTGCTTTTTGATCCATGTTTGGACGGCTCTATGTGCAGAACCTTTTGAAATGTCACAACATTGAGGACTAGGAGTGGGAACAAGTTGGGAGGAGTAGTTCACGACGTTTGGCACTCTGAAGGAGTGTGATCTAATAAATCATGGCTCCTAACTCCTAACAGACCTGCTAACGGCAGTGTATATGTAGATTATCAAGAAACCATCCTTTTCAGTAAATCATTAGCAACAACACGAGCAAGAGGCATTCCCAAGTCTAACATAAATTTCGATATTATATAAATTTTCCCTGTAGCTTTGGTAACGAATATCCATCAGATCTCTACTAGCTTCTACATTGAAAACAAAAGAAGTGGCCAAAATGATGTATCATCTTCTTTCAGTCATCAAAAGTGTTTCCTAAACTAAAACAAAAACAAAAAATCATGAATAAATCAATCTTTTAGTCAACTACCTCGCAGCTCCTGTTGGGTTGAGCGATTGAGTTCATCCTGCCAAAAAAAAACCCACCATTGTTACTTGGCCCTATTTATAAACTGAAGTATAAAAGCAACCATGATAAAAAAAATAAGAGATCGTACCGAATCATAATGAAGGACTGATAGTGCTTGCACAAAACTTTGCAATAAAGGTAGGTGTTTTTAATCTGGTAACTCAATTATGTGCCAAACAGAAACTGGAACGTTATGATGATCAAAAGTTACACTGAGTTGATGATGTATGGAGTTAATTTGCTGACAAAATTACAAATATTTACACCTGAAAAAAAAAATGAAAGCAGATATAAAGTCAGGCAAGGAAACAAAAATGTACATCCAGACCAGAAAAGTAAAAGAGAGGAGAACCAACCTTTTTCAGTCAATGGGCAACGGATTGTCTCCATCACCCTTCAAGGCAAAATTTGTTCAAAGCGATTCCCGCCTGCAAAAGGGGACCAGAAGCTACATAAGAATAGGAACAACCAAAAGATTTTCTCAAGAAAACTTAAAAGGCAAGGGATTTTATTGTATGGTATACTTCAATAATACACTAAGTATATATTCTGTTTTTTACCTTCATTTTCATTAGATTCACAAAAGTCCATGAGCTAAATAGCCTAAAGCAACAATATTTCGTTTCTTGTGAGATGTGCCAAAGGTATTCGTTGGGCTCAAAATCTAAAGACTAAAGGTGTTTATCTGCAGACCACCGTAATAATGGATCCTCACACCCAAATCCATTTTTCTATCCCATCCCATCCATTACAATGGAAAAGATGGTGAAAAGGGGAAAACATTTTACAATAATAAAAAGCAGCGTGGAAGTTTTGCTTGAGTGATTGAGGATGCCAAACCATACTTCATATGCAGAAAAAAATGTGATTCTTGTAAACATTTTTATTGCCTGGTTATGCCCCAAGAGAAACACTGAATCATGGAAAAGAAAATAAAACCATATATTCATAAGCTCAAGGAAGATGCAAAGAATGAAATAAGGGAATCCATGAA